ACGAATGAGCTAAGTGCTGCGGTGAAAAAGCCACTTATGCAAGTAGAAGAACCATTTATTCTAAGAAGTAATAAATGGCTTAGCCATTTAGCCTCAAGCATCCTCTATCGAATACTGAAATCCGCAGATCTGTATCTCCTTCCTACCAAAAGTTATTTAAAAAATGATAGTCTGCCTTCTATTTTGAAACGGATAGTAGATCCCAACTGAAAATTATTGGATACTAAATATATAAAATCTCCAAATCATCAATGTATCAGCTTCTTCTCAGTATGAATTACTTCAACAAACAACAACCGTTATTTCATTTGGCAAATGAACCTGAAATTATTTTATCAACGAACCAATATTCACCATTAACAAGTTGACCAATTATACCTGAATTAAATGATTCATCTCAACAACAACCAGAAAATCCGATAAATGAACAGGAACCACGTCAAGAATTAATTAAAGACGAAAAAAGAAAAACACACAATCGAAGCTGTACAGTTAAACAACGTAAACGTTATCATAAACAAGAAATTATTAGTCGGGGAACTGATCGTAATTACTCAAATTAAACAAATTCTTCGTAAACATGCAGCACATTTTTCTGTCATTAATGTATCAGCGTCACAATTAACAAATCGAACATCTTTATATATTGGTATAAAAGACCATGGATGGTATTAAACTCTTGCCAGAGATCCTGCAATAATGAAGCATGATGGAATGAAAGTCTTGCTACAAAAATTACGTGCAATGGCCGACTGCGGCGAATAACATTGTCTGTTTTTTAGAGTGAATGGAAAAATTTTGCAAAATATTAAATTTAAATTTTTAATTTTCTTCAGTCTTAATTTTTAAAAGAATTTAAATTTAAAACATATGGAAGAAAACTTGAAAGTCAGCCAACTGTACTCTCACAGTCGGCCATTGCGCACAATTTTGTAGCAAAAATTTTTTCCACCATACATCGTTTTTGCGGCAGTTTTGACAAGGCTTTTTCAAAATACTTTTTCATTTCTCAGCAAAAACCATGGAAAGAATTTGTAACTCAATTTTGATCACTTTGTTTACGTTTGTGACCCATAAAGGAGGGTTATTGTGGCGTGCCCACCGAACTGTACAATCCATATACAAATATTGAGGAGGATTGGAGCCTCCCCTTAAGTTCAAAAGCTGATATTTTTTTCATTTTGACGTTTCAGCCCTGCATTATTGCAATTTGAGTTTATTTCTTTTTTTTTGCTGCAGATGCTATCCAATTTCTAAAGAGTGATGTAAACAATATACCAGTTCTTGTCTTCTCACCTTTTTCCTTGTTCTTTCTTCTTAATCGATTCATCTCTTTCCATCTAAATCTTTGCTTAGTCTGTAGGGGCTTTTGTATGGACGGACAAGGAGTTCGTTCTAGATAGCGCAAAGTGTGGTGGACATGAACTCTCGCTTACAGTGTATTATATTATTTCATGTTGGGTATGTTATCACATTCTTAGGTTTCACGATAGTCATATCATGGTATACATAATTTGCGGAAAAATAACGTGTTTTAAATATTTAAAAGATTCTCAAGAATGTCTGAAAGCGGCTTTGCGGACTGCATTTGTTGGCAATCTTATGCGTGATTGTTGAAGTGTTGGGAGTTGAATAATGGAAACAGCAGATCTAGACTTATTTTCATTTAAAGCTTCTTCGTAAATAGCCAAGCTTTTATATTTCAAAATGGTAAGCAACATCCGCTTTACAAAATATAGTTTTCAAAGAGTATTAGGGCTACTTATTTATTATTTTCAGAATACAAGCCACATTCTTAGTGGTACGTGCAAATAACCATGCTTCTTCTCTCCTCACGAACAGAGAATGAATACGACTTAAAATTATAATCACTGATCAAGCGTCCACGGCCGGGTTGAGCAATTCATCATGATCCTTTTTGTCTTGTTCTCCTAAAGAAATAGAAATAATACTTTAGATTAATGTTTCCAACTAAAGAGATTATAGCAAGTATCAGCATTGTATTTATCTACGTTCTACTTATCCACTAGTTCTTACGTGCTGAAAATCTCTACGTATTCACCGAAATATTCCATGTTCGAATTAATCGAAATATTTCTTATGAAGGAAAACAGTGATTATTCCACAAGATTGCACGTGCTGAAAATTGAAACTTTCGGTAAAAGAAAAGCTCTATGAATTGTGAGGCAAAATGCACAAGCTTTATATACTTTTAATCGATCGATTCTATCTTGTGCAGGACGCTCAACGTAATCATAGAATAAAGTGCTTTACTTTTTGTTAGAAAAAGCTATGAATGGCAGAGATGTGCGGATATCCGAAATAGGAATATCCGCATATAAATATTCGAGTTAAGGATATCCGAGACCGGTTGTCGGCCGACATAGCTTGGAAAATACACATTCGCGATTAATTTGATGTTCTAAAAAGTAAATTGATGGTGTAAAACCTGTAAAAGCATAAAGGTCATAAAAGCATAAAAGCTATAAAAGTTGCTTTCACCAATGAAATTCGAAATTTTTATTTTATTCTTTCAGTCTGACTATATAAAAATAGAGTGGACGTGTCTGTGTATAGAAGAAACATGTGAAGGTCATATATATGCAAGAACTTTTGAATTAAATGTATATTAACTAACGATGTTACATAGTTAGGAAACAGTAAACAAGCAAAGAAAATTTCGCTTACGTAAGAGGCACTATTAGCGATAGTGAAAGAGAAAAAATGAATCACAATACGTTGAGAGAGAGAATAAATGCGGAAATGGTCCATTTGCTCAGAAAAAACAACTTTTATCTTTGGATCTTTGGAAATTTTTATCTCCTTATCTTTGGAAACATGTACCTCCAGTGTCGAAGTGGAGGTGTCGGGGTGGGGGGAGGTGTTTGAGAGTGAGTCACGATCGTTGCCTGATCTGGATAGTGATGTTAACTACTTGCGGCTTCAAAATGCAACATAGTTGGTTGTTATTTTAATACCTTTGGTTAGAAAAGAGAGAAAACCTTGCGGTTTTGGCAACTCTGTAGTCAATGTGGGGTCACCATATTGGTTTGTTTGATTTTTAGTTATATGTATTCAAACAGTCAGATGCTGATCGACCCTAAATTTTTTATTTCTGTATTTCAGCTGCGTTTCTATACACAGACACGCCCACTCTATTTTTATTCAGTCAGACTGAAAGAATAAAATAAAAATTTCGAATTTCATTGGTGAAAGCAACTTTTATAGCTTTTATGCTTTTATGACCTTTATGCTTTTACAGGTTTTACACCATCAATTTACTTTTTAGAACATCAAATTAATCGCGAATGTGTATTTTCCAAGCTATGTCGGCCGACAACCGGTCTCGGATATCCTTAACTCGAATATTTATATGCGGATATTCCTATTTCGGATATCCGCACATCTCTGTGAATTTGACAATCATCATCAAACTCACAGTTATTTAGTAGAGAGCGTGTATGCATTGAGTTCTTTGTCCGTGATCTGTCTCGCAGCAGAAGAATGAGAATTCAAGTACTATACAGGCTGCTTTACGTCTGGAAAGTATTCAAGGCAGTCATTACTGAAAAATGTTATCTACTGAAAAGATTACTGTTGGGATCAATGGCAAGCGCTGTTCTCTATTTCAAAAAATTTACACTTTCCGAACTAGCAACGACAAATAATTCCCTGTCATCGACCAGTAACAGAATAGGGTGAGCTTCGCTACTTGTTCGTGTGGAAAAGGAGATCGAAGAGTATGAACATAAAAGTACTTCTTCACATGCACGCATTCATGAAGAAAGGTTTGTTCGACGTTCTGAACTGTCAATGGCATTTCGCAAGTAATCTAAGATTTTTGAATGATTGGAATCATCATTTTTTTTCTCAGTTAAACCTTTGAATGAAGAGCGCTGGTCTATTAGAGATGCTTTATAAATTTACCTTTTTCTGTTGTTTTTCTCTTCATTTTTTGCCTCTTCTTTTCAGTCTTCTTTCTTCTGACTTCTTTCATCTGATCCTGTTTTATGACTCTTAGAATTCTTATTTGTTCTCCAGCATATACTTCTCTGATCTCTTCAATCAATGTAAATAACGTTGACGTTAAATTTTAATGGGAATCGTTCTAGAAACCATCTGAACTGTAAAACAAGGAAAAACGTCAGAAGAAAGAAAAGAAGAGGCAAAAATGACGAGAAAAGCAACAGAAAAAGGTAAATTTATAAAATATTTCTGATAGACCAGCGCTCTTCTTCCAAAAGTTTAACTGAGAAAAAGAATGATGACTCCAGTCACTCAACTTACTTCTGAGAGACCATTGACACTTCAGAACTTCAACTGATGAAATACCGTTGAAAGTTTAGAACTTCAATCGCTACGGCTACACCCCTAGTCTAGATGCAAAAACGCACATTTAGAAGCGTTCGGACGCCTGTTTTTTTCAAAAACTGCAAGACAACGCGTTTGGACGTGTGTCTGTTTAATAAAATTTTCCAATGGATGTTAACAATATACTCACAATGATTTCGCATACTACTGACATTTACCCTTTACACAAGTCTTTGTCTTATAATTCCAAACATAATTGACTGCGCATGATTCAATTGAGTAGAATTTGTTCGCCAAACATTTAATATATCCTTTATCAGTATAACCCAATGGAAATTTTTCTTCACTATTTACTGTTGCACATGGAGTCACGAATATTTTTTCTGTACAACTTGAGCCATACCATAACTGTCCCATAGTTTCATTAACTGATTCTGGCCTCCGGCAAAAACATACATACTTTAGGGCAGAGTTATCTTCAAACGTTTGACAGCCCTAGACGGCAACTCTAATATATGTATATATATTTTTTTTTTGATAGATTTGCCTTACCTCATATACTTTGTGCATTTCAGAAAATGGGAGTCCTCTTACACACGGATGCATTGAGTAAGAACGTTCACAGTAAGGAAGTTCACAATTGCGAGTAGAAGCGTCATTATGACACATACAATAATACGTTGCGGCAGCAAAAATATTGATACATTTTCCACCTTTGCATGGTGATGATGAGCATGGGCTGCTTTCGCGAGTGACTAAAACGAGGAGAGAGAAAATATTATTTGAGTTTTCGTTCGATATTTAGTATTGTATTAATCTCACCATTGGTATTGCCAACATTACATTCCTTCTTGACTGGATCGTATTGAACACCGTCCATACATTTTTGTTCAACACCGAAGCCGTCACCAATACAAAAAACAAAACCAGTCAAATCCGGTAAGGGAACAAGATGCATCGGAATCAGCAGTGCTTTTGTGCATAATGAATCTAAGCACGAAACAATCACCAAAAAGCAAATAATAAATTTTTGAAGTACGATGTTGACATGTTTCTAGACACAGCTAAATCACATGCTTCAAATAGACATATCTAAATAAATAGTTTTGGACATGATTCAAGGTGGAAAGCTTATCAACGCAGATCCTTCGGATCTGAAGTAGGACTCTAACACGGATCGATTGACAAGCGAGTTGTTCATATTAATATGATACGCAAACCTTCAAAGACGCTGTCATAATTAATTCCACCATGACTCTATACTCCTACTTAATTACCAAATCATGAGCTCTACTCCATCCGAGCTTCACAAAGAAACGTAATAACGCTAATTAGAACTGCAAAAGATATGAGCAGATATTGTTACATAGTATTGCAGAAACAAAAGAAGTGACTTGTAGACAACATAATCTGTGTAGAACAAACCTTATCGATTCCGAAATGGTATGACAAGAGCACATGGTCATATAAAAGTGTTTCGGAAAACTCAAAGTATATCTGAACGCATTATTATTGAAAGGTTTTTGACGATTACCCGATGAGGGAGTGCAAATAGCATAGTAGCAATATCCATTCCACAACAGAACATAAACACAGTAGTTGTTCCTCAAATAATCCTTGAAGGGATAAAGGTTGCCATGTTCTCACGCCTCTTCAAATGCCCTGCAGGTCACTGAGATTCTATTAGCTTTCTGATGTTATGAAACTATTGCCCTTGATTCGAGTCTAACAATGCTATATATTACTTCCTGTTATGTGGTCTTAATGCACTTAGAGAGTTCCGATGCACTTGTAAAATGTTTTCATAGTGTTAATCGCTGAAATGTGAAGGTCCTTATGAACGCAAAATTGAAAGAATACTCCTCTTATCAAAGGTGCCCGTAATGCAAACTTAGAGTGGAACTGTGTTTCACTTTTTAATACGTATTCTGATTCGTCTTGTCAAGGTGAATACAAATATCACCTTCCCAGTTCTTGAAAACCTTTCATTCAAGGAGAAAAACTCGAAACACAGAGAGGATCTCAAAAATAAAAAAATCCGTTCATTTTCAGAAAACTAACTTTTTGAAGTCGTGTTGCATGATAGAAATCTGAAACTAAATCATTCGAGCGCATCGTATATTTTTAATATTTATCGGCAATACATACGCTGTGAATATGGAAACAAAGTAGTGTTCATCGGTGTAAAATTCCCCATATCTAAAGACAGCGAAACTAAAGAGACCAAAATCATACTAAAAATAACCTAAAAAACTTGACTTACTGACACTGGGTAACAATGGTAGGAGAACTAATACAGCAAACTGGATTGAATCCATAGGCATTTAAACAAATAACTATCGCCCTGTTAATATCGACAATTTTCAGATGTGATAGCTATACAAGTTTTACTCATCTCTCTTTCTCTCTCTATATCTATATCTATATCTATATGACCATGTTTTCATATTTATTTTAGAGAGAAAGATAGAAAATACTGGGTCCCTGGATAAAAAATGAAATGATGCATTCTTCAAATGACGTATACAATCGACGAAACTATGTGGTATAGACTAAGAAAGAAAGAGAAGAAATACAACGTTGAGTTCAACAAACGGTTAACACTTTGTGTTTAAAACTTTTCTACGCTATAGACTTGACTTCAATCAATTGAACGCAAATCTTGTAAAGAGAAAACGAAAGACGTAAGAACAGAGAAAAGCCCTTCAGAATAAGTAAATGATTTAGGCGGAAAGAGATGAGTCGATCAAGAAGAAAGAACAAAGAAACGGGTGAAAAGATCAGAATTCGTATATTGTTCACATCACTCTCTTCAGAGATTGGATAGCATCTGCAACAAGAAACGAAATAAAAAAGGTCTGCTACCAGGTCAAGATGCTGTTGTTCACAGAACACGCAATCAAATACTGTCTAGCTGTGTCCATCTTCTTTCTAATTTGCACGCTCCTTGATTTTCTATTATTTTTACTTTTTATTCATCATTTGGTTATGCAAGTTATGTTAATGCTACGCCTATAATGAATTGTATGCGCAAGCTTTATAAGAATCAATAATGAGATAAATCAAAAGAAACTGTGTTACAGATATGAATTATAGAAAATCGAGATGAAAAATACATACCTTCGCAGCTGAGATACATATTCTATTCTCAGCTTAGATTATTTTTAACTAAGTATCTCAATTAAGAAAAGAAAAAATGAAACTTTAACTGGACGAAAGCATTGAAAACACAGAGTACAACATTGATAGCTGGTACATAAGAAGCACATGGAAATCTGATATGACAAAAGAATTATTAAACACGATAGATAGTTCTATATTTATGTGTACTACTTGGCGTGCGCTTACTATGATGATCAGCAACTTTTTAGAATTATGTTTTGAGTTCACTATTACAACTGTATTTGTTACTTGGAAGCAATATTCTACCCGTGTGTGAAATGAATCAGGAGAAGCATAAACGACACATTAAGCGTCATCAAATAGACCTTTATTCGAGCAGAAAACTATTTCTGGACTTGTAATCATTCATATAACAGAGTTTACATTTCTTGAGCGCTTCCCTACTCGGGATATATTTCTGTGGCCTCAAGAGATCTTTTATTCAGACAAATACATTCATTTCACACTAAACGAGGACCAAAATACATTGTACAATCATGCATCATATATACAGAAAACGAGACAGAGAGAGAAGAGAAGAAAGATGAGAGAGAGGAAAATATTGTTAGGCTGCAGGCAGGACATACTTCTAACTATCTTTCGACCTTGTTCCTAGATTCATCACAACAAGGATATTGTTTTTAAATATTTACGTAACATGATAAAATCAAAGTACAATCACGTTGCGAAACAGGCTGCAGACAGTATTTATATTATCGAAGAAGAAAGAGAGAATATTCATCAGCTGAACTTGGAAGATTCATTAGAGAAATATCAGAAAAACCATCCAAAGTCCATCCGGATCACTCATCTCAAAGGCCTCTTTAGTATCATTATATGAATTGAGTGAATATACCCAATGAAATGAATAAAGTACATTTTATTTTGGATCAAAAACCGTTCAAGTGTTTGGTTTGATAATGAATAATCCGTACACATGCCATCATATCTTTTTTGCTTTTTTGTGTCCGTTTTCGTCGATACAACATTCTCTTCATACTCACTCTCATGTACAGTGCAGTAACTGTTTTCAGCAAACAGAAGACAAAAAGTGCTTTCTAAAGATAAACTTGATGTCTGTTAGAAGTCACTCTCTAGCAATCATAGTCAAAGTACACACAGCACGTTTGCAATCCGAACATACCATTTTGACTACGGCTTTGGATGCTAGAAATAGAGAGTGCCTGACTGTAGTGTAATGAATTGTATACACCCACATCAATGTCAATCTTTTGCCAATATTATAAGTATTCACAAAGAGACAATCGACTAGAGCACCAGATTTGGTTGATAATGTTGCTCAAGGACAGTCTGACTCCTGAGAATGCTTTTTTGGCTTAGAGAAGCACTTTACTTTGCAGTAGGATGCAGCCTTACTTTTAGAAGTTAATAATTCAAATATTTCGTTGAAGTTACTTGTTTAAATCAATCTGGTTTTATTATTAAATGTAGACAATAGCTTTAAATCAGAAAATACGTGTAGTGTTCATATGTCAATGAAAATGTTATCATTCTCAAAAGCTGTAATTGTCATGTGATTATGCGGAGTTACAAATGTCGCCGCATGGTGGATAATTCAACCGATACTTATTTTCCTGAGCTTCGATTTCTGTCTTAAGTGGATCACGTTCAAATGATTGGCAAAACATTTCACCAAGAAAACTACGACTAGCACGACACATCTTTCTGAATGCACAAGCATTCCTTGGAATGTACAAAAAATGATAGTCGATGTGAGGGAAAAAGATGTCAGAGATGGATAGTTCTTGTTGCTTGATATCTGCATAACAAATATTTGGCTGATTACATGTAACGGTTGACCTGTATTGCTGATAAATTGGCTTTGCTATGCTACAGATGGTTGTTTCGGATGGAAAACCTTGTTCTATCCATTCACATGTGGAGAAAAACTCACAAAAAAGATATCTGTTTTGTAGAAAAGTAAGTTGTATAAATCTCTTCTTTACCAGTGATTGATCTATAATAATCCAGAATGAAATTCAAGTGACCATGAAAAATGATCTTTGCCCAAGCTATGGCCTCATGGACCTTACCACACTTCCTTAGAGCTCCTTTAGAGAAAGCTACGACGGAAAACAGAAGGAGTAAACATCGAGAAGAATGTAAGTCAAAGCTCTTTTTAATTTGTGGCGTTTTATTTGAAAATTCTTACGTACCATTGTTCGCTCGAGCTTCATAATCAATAGTGATAGCGCCTAAATGGAAATAAAAGATGACATCATATATCACCGCAAAAAGAAATTCAAATATGATTACAGCTATAATTTAATTCTCAGATTTCAATCAAAAGTTTTCGTGCGAGTTTTATTAAGTTAAAAGTTTTCAGTGCAAGCTAGGATTCTAAATATTGTTCATCATTTTGTTATCCTGTAGTAGTTAAGTATAACTTTGATGAACAAAACTCAAAGAATCCACATTCTATATACAAGAGAATGTTTTCTTCCGTTGAACTCAAGCTAGTTGACATCAGTGGTCGAGATATTCAATTCGTTTTCTTCCCCCCGACCATAGAAGCATACTACGGCTTAAAAGTGCCTGATGTAGCTTGAGTAGCTGGGGCAGTTTGGGACTGTCAACCATCATCTTTCTATCTTCTTATCCACTAATCCAAGAATCCTTCAATAAATCTCAAGTTAGGGCCAAATGGAAATTCACCGGATTGACCATTTAAAATTATCTCAACACATTCAATTAAGCAACAAGTACTCACGTATCCTACGTCGGGGTTCCAGCATTTTCCCTTGAAAACCACTAACCTCGTAGACATCACCGTTGCTGTACACACAAGTATTATCACCGTTAATCAGCCCATTCACAAAGAAACCGAGATAAAGAACACCTTGAGATAGCAGCTCTCCATAGCCTGTCATTTGATTCATAGCCATATTCCCAAAGTAATAGATATCTGCTGCTGGATTAGAATAGTAACCAATTCCGTGAAACTGACCCTTCACGAAACTCCCTCGGTAAACACGACCGTCATCATAAACCAATGTGTCTCTGTCATGAGGAATGCCGTTTCCCAACGTACCTGAGTATGTTGAGCCCCTAAACCGAATTCTTTCGAAAGAAGCATTTCAATTCACGCTTGATACATAGTCCAAATTGAAACCTAAATATCATTCATGTCAACGTACGGATGCAAAAAGACAAAAATGGAAACCCCGATCAGAGTAGCTGCTACTTACAAGACAGTAACACAATGAAAGCGGCTGAAATCATTTCCCTCCTAAACTGCCGTTAAAATAAAATTTGTAAAAGAAAACCAGCTTATAAATCTCAACCCAAACTCGTTTTATAGGAACAGGTCTAAAAACAGCTCCAAAAAACTTAGGTTTTCCAGTAATCCCAGCGGATTTCGGATACACCGAAAAATTCTTTTAAATCCACCAGTCGATAGTCCATTCAATTCCATTCAATAAAATGAGATGTCTCCGAAGTTTCTAGCACCTTCCAGTAAAGAACTGTAAGGAAAATGCGGAAGGCGATAGCGTTTTTAGGCTGAAATTTTCGTGCATGTTGCAAAAATTCGACTCGTTTCGCATTTTCCTTACAGTTCTTTACTGGAAGATGCTAGAAACTTCGGAGACGTCTCGTTTTATTCAGAACTAAACGGGCTAAAAAGTTTACAATATATCCCAAATTCGCTAGGGTTGCTGAAAAACCGGAGTTCTCTGGAGATCTTTTACACCTGTTCACACATTAACATGAATATTTTTCAGTGATCTATATAGATCTCGACATCCTCTTTCATTTGAGATCAAAACGAAGGTTGTACGAAATGGATAGCAGATCTAAATATGCTTCGGAAAATCACAAAATCCGCCAGAAAATACCAAAATATGCGCTTTTTTGCTGAAAAATAAACTGAGTATAACGTTTTTTCGTAGGCTGATAGCGAGCTGTGGTTTCCACCATTGGAATCAGCGTGCAAAACTGCACAGGAAAATGTGTTTCTCGTCTTCTGCACTTTAAATCGATGTGATGGTGGTAGAGTTAGGGCTATGACAGTTACCAGTTACCGTTACCAGCGTTCTCCGTTACTAGAGGTAACGGTAACTGATATAAAATTAATAAGCATCGTTCCTCGTTACTGGAGGGTAAAGGATTTCTTACTGTATATCAATTACCATTACCTCTACTAATGAGGAACGATGCTTATTAGTTTTATGTCAATATAGTAACCGTTAGTAACGGGGAACGATGGTAACGGTAACTGGTAACTGTCACAGCCCTAGGTAGGGTCTATATGGATTTACGCTACATAGAATACAAAAGCACAGCAAAACTGTGCTATGACTGAATATAAACTATCTATGATCCAAAACAAATGGTACATGTAGCACAAACAAAACAAATTCTGGTACAAGATACACCAGATAATATTCTTCTTGACTGGTAAATCTGCTACTACCATCCTCATTTTGTTCATCTTCTTCACCTTCCGAATCTTATGTACACATTTTAACATACTATGTTTTCTAAGGTAAAACTCATCAGCCGGATTAAGATCGGTACCATCAAGCCGTCTCTGACGCTTTTAAAGAAAACATAAACCTTCACAGAAAATACCCAGGAAAATTCTTTCTTTCTTTGTCTTTCTACCTTTTCCTTTATCGTGAAATATGACTGATACGTGACGCGTCTGTTCTCTTCTCTTGACGCATAGTTACTACAGATGTTTATTTACTTACAACAGAAAGACTGGGTGCCTTATACTGAAGTTAACACTGAAATTCTTTCATCAAAAATTAGTCTGTGTCTGACTAAGATGGAGTAACAAAAAGGAAATTCATACGCGGAATGAAAAGCAAAAAAATTGGTTTTACTCAGCTAGCAAACCAGTTTAAAGATTAGATTTTTTTTATGAGTGTTTCTTTGATGAAAACAAGAGTAGATACCTTGCATGAGTTGTAGTTGAGAAAGAATATAATATGTGAAAGAAATTCTTCTGAT